CAGCAGAAGTTGATATTGCTAATTGATCAACCCATCAACCTTCTTACCCTTCTTTGTATTCATTTTTGTTATGTAATGTAACTTTTTTTTTGCAGGGTGAAGTTGGAAATGGCAATGTTGATTTGTTTGTTGATGTGAAGACGGTTGCAAACCCAACGGTTGAGCAGAAGACTGAGACCTCAGGAGGGACAGATGAGGTATGTTTTGTGATTGTATTGGTGACAGTAAATATGGTAGATGTTTCCATTATCATAGTTATAATATACGGACGGTATTATGGACATGATATTATGGATGTGTCCGATCCTCCAGCTGCTTGCAGCAAACCTGATAAGGAGGCAAGTTATGTTTAGTTTTGTTATATATTGATTGGAGTATTTTTGGAATGATTAGTGTGAGAAAGAGTAATCTCGGCTTTGTTTCAGGATTCTGGACGGGAGGAGGTAAGAAATGGGGTAGATGGTGTGCGTGGTAGTAATGTGTTGTGTAATGTTACTGATGAGGTAAAATTTCTGCATTAATCCTAAATATTATGTTGTCGTTATGGATATTGAATAATGAGAATCTAAAAATATTCCAGGAACTTGTAGAAGAAGCTAAGGGAATGGAGCATGTGTGTCGTTCCTTAGATTTTACAGTGCGTATGGTTGTCGATGATAACATGGAAGCCTTGGAAGAGCAGGTAGGTGTTGTTGGTGATGATGGAAATGAAAGTGAGAAAGAAAATCTAGAGATAGAGAGTTTGGGGGAGCCTATTGAACTTAGTGATTCATCGCCTTCAAGAAAGAAAGAGTTGATCGCTGATTCAGAAATTGAGAAATCACTTGTGGAACAGTTTTTTATCAGACCTAAGAGGAACAAGATGAATTTGTTACCTTCTGTTGACCATGCTGAGTATGCGTTCTTTGAGGGAACACTGACAGCTTGCCCTTCATTGTGAGTTGTATATTTTTTTTGTATTAATCTACCATGTGCAATGTAAGGTTTTTAAATGACTGAAAGTTGTACCATTTTTTGTAGGGAACATGTAACAGATGACGGATTGCTGATTACTAGCAGATTCCTTTTGGAGCTTGCTAAGCCTAAAGAGTGGTTATCAACTTTGGTAAGTGTATTTGTCTGATAGTCGGTTGTTAAGTAATTGTTGGTATAAACTTTGGTAAGTAACAGTTTTGGACCTTTCTTGGTTATGTGTACAGCATATGGAAGTATTGAAGGTATTCCTTGGTAAAAGGCATGAAGCAGTGTTGGAAGCTGAACGATCTCTATTTGTATCTCCCTGGTTTGTGAATTATTTTTAGGACAAATATAAAACTTTTTTTAAGCAAGCGAAGAACAAGAACCGTGTGAAATGGGGTGCTAGGATGATAACATTTGTTGCGGAGGAGAAGCGGAAGTGGTTTGAGCACATTGACACTGTATATGTGCCGATGTGCTGGGAAAAGAGACACTGGGTTGGTTTGGTTATCCATCTTAACATTAGCCTCATCAATCTATGCCGAGAAGAAGATGCGACAGTTACTAGCTCCCGTTGCAGAGATGCTTCCTTTTATTATGAG